AGAAAGTGTAACGTTAAGCTATTATCAGGTTTTTGGAGAAGATTTACTGCAAAACATTGTCTAGACATGCTAGAAGGGTTTCTATGAACTCTAGACGATGATCTTAGCTGTAAAATAAAGAACAGTGTCCAAATTCGACACTGAAAAATGCTCAGATTTGATTTTCTTAGAAGAATCTCAGAACGAAGGATTTTCAAGTCCTTGTAAATAAATATCGGACCTATTGCGTATTTATTTGAGGACCCTAAGGAATGACTGTGTGGATGGATGGGTATGATTGTTCCTATTCTTCACTCATACCATCCATACTCAAGAATTTTAAATTTGATATTCGTTTCTATGGAAAGAAAATTCAATTAATAAGCCATTGGTTACAATATGTAACAAGATTGACATTGGGGTCGTTTGGAAGTCACGTGATCACAACATCTGAGTAGCACTTAAAAAAATTTCAAAATTATACCAGGTGCTACCATCAAAGCACACCTTTGAGACACACTGACGATGGTGCTGATCAAACAGTGATAGTAGATAGTGAATAATAAAATATTTAAAACAAAAAAAAAACGATACCTAATAGGTATTTTTGTATCTGAGGAAAACTGTCCTGTAATAAATTATCGAATTACGAATTGTTTCGATATACATTCTTGAACTGTCATAATATGCTGGAAAAAAAAGTAAAAAATCTTAAATATCTTTGTTAAAATGTCTCTATTTATTTCTTTTTAGGATGCAGATAGATTATTAAGGATTAAATGAAAATAAATTAAGAAAACAACGACCTCATTCAAGAGAAACTTGAAAAAATATTTTGCGAAACAAAAAATTAATTTAGCGAAGAATACATTATTAAAAATGCTAATTCATCCAGAAATTCTAATGATATTATTTTTCTACAGCAACAACTAATTCTATTATGAAAAATGAAGCTGATAATAATTGAAAAATGAAAAAACTCCCACAAAATCATTGGTACATCCTCTTTCATGTGGTGATATACAAACATGAACATGTGACATCACATTCCTTCAAGTTAAACAAACAGATTTAGTAATATCTGAAAATGAAAAATATTTAAATATATTGCTCAAACAAAAGAAAAAACTGATAAACTTAAATGTTTTTAAAATCATGTTCATGCTCAATAATATTTGAGAGATAAACAAGAGCAAAAATTACAAGTAATTACGGAATCTCATTCTAATATTTTTTGTGCTTTGAAGAAAGTATTTCGAATATTTGATTTTTGAAATAAATTAAAATAAACTGTCGAAATGCACACAAATAATGAAAATATCCAATTTGAAAAAAGATGGTGTGAGGGTGGGTGTGCGTGTGGGTGGATGTGGGTTTGGTTGTGATAGTACCTTAACAACACCCATACCTACATCCACCCACACCTACACCCACACGCCCACAACCACATCCCACACCCACGCCTCAAACCCACACTCACACCAACACCCAGACCCACCCACACTCCCCCACACTCCCCCACACCCACATCCACACCCACACCCAAAAAGTTTTGAAGCGCCACTTTGGGTGTGCATGTAGGTATGCTAATGTGTCGGCAGCTACAACCACACATCCACACCCAGATCTATAGGGTGTGCATGTAATGTCCGCGTCAAAATAAAAGAGGGGTGGGTGTAAGCTCAATAACTCGACAACCGCAATAGCTAGGGACCTATGGTTTTCACCAATGGAAAGAGGAGGAGTGGGCACGTCTTTTTTCTCCAATAATGTACAAGACGAAATTCTTTTCATACTAATGATATTTGAAAAACATGCAAGACAATTCATGAAAATGACCTGCCAGCTAGGTGAAATTTTGATTTTGACCTTCGATTTGAATAGAGGAACTTGAGATGTACAGTTTAAGACACAATGCGCTTTCTTACTTTTTCTTACATTTTCATCGAAAACTCAAGCTATTAGGATAAAAGTGCGAAAACATAGTAAAAAATCAGCAAAATTTCCTATTATTTGCGCATGTAAGTACATGATTCCATTTGCTCAACGTTAGAATGTAATAAGACATCCATTTGCATTGTGTCTTGAACTATGGATCTCAAGTCTCTCTATCTAAAGCGAAGGTTAAAGTCAAAATTTCATCATGCTGGCAAGTCATTTTCATGAGTTCTTTTGCATGTTTTTCAAATATCATTAGTTTTAAAAAAATTTCGTTTTATGCATTATCAAAGAAAAAGACGTGCCCACTTCTCCTCCTTTGATTGGTGAAAACCGCAGGTCGCTAGCTATGGCGATTGTCGAGTTATTGAGCTTTCATCCACCCCTCTTTTATTCTGGCGCGGACATTAATTAGGGGTGTCTTTGAAAAGACCACAACACTAACACCCATTCATACACACGCAACCCACACCCATATACTCCTTGGGTAAAAAATGTATGAAATCTCAATAAGGCTTTTAAAAAGTAGAAATAATTTTTGTAGACCGAATGCAAATTCAAAAAAAGTAGTGGAATTTCGTGAATTGAAAAAAATTTTAAGACGGTATTTTATTTTAATTTTAGACCATTTGTGTTTATATAAAACTGAAACAGAAGTTTGCATTTAAGTCAGAATTCGACATAACGAACGTTGAGGCTATATATAGAACAACATGGCACGAACCAGCTCGTAAATCTAGCTAATTGGTTTGTAAACTGAAGATCCAGAGATCAATACTCGATGTGTTCATCTGTTTTCTTTTCTCTTTAGAAAATCCTGCAAACATCCTATCAAGAAATTTGATAACATCCTGAATGAAAGTTAGTAAACTAACGTAATGGCCCTGTCAAGAAACGTGGTAGAATTCTGACAAATGTTAAAAGAAATTTTTTCGTTTTCACTTATGAACCCTTGAAAGTTAGCAAGATCCTGGTTTTAGAGTAATCGAAAGTTCCTCAGGATTCTTCCAAGAGCTTCTTCCAAATACTGTCAAAATCTTTAACAATTCCTGGTTACACGCTTTTTCTGGATTCAGTCGTTTTCTGAGAAAAATAGAGTCAATCCTGACCGGATTTTAATTGAATATGTCAACGACCTGGTGCAAAAACTAAATGCGTTTTGGGTAATTTTTATTTTGGCGCTGAATAGATGTTAAAGCTGGCTTTTTTTAAAAATTTCTAGGAAATCCGCGCAAAACGCAGTCAAAGATAATAACGGCTTCCTAGAAAATAATGCCTACATTTTTCATGGCACCCTGCCATTCAGCTCCATATGACAGTCTCAAAAACCTTATTCACTAATATTAATAGAGGCGTGAAAGTAAAAATAGTCCATTGGCAAAAATTAAGAAAAAAGTCATTGTATCAAGAAAAATTACGCACGATAATGTGTTGCATTCTTTAGTCGTTAGATTGTCTGTCTTACTTGTTGAATATGATAGGAGCGGACATATTTCTTCAGTGGCCATCGACAACGGATAGCAAAGAGGTAGATTATGACACTTTGGATGATTTACACAAATATGAGCAGGTTGATGACATGCATTATTCTGCGCTGCGCACGAAACCAGCTGAGAACAGGGAGGATCGAGCAGCGCACAAATCCCATTACCGAAAGAAGGCACAAATGGAAAGCAGCCGCAGTCAAAGTTTGTTGAGCACCGACTATACTGAGGTATGTTATAGCATGCTTGCGATGCGCCACACGCTAATTGCAGATAAAAATTACTTCTTTGAAATGTACATAAAATATCACAATCATACCTATAATGCTAAAATGAAGAATTGTACATAACAATAAAATGAGCCTCAGAGAAAGATCTTTTGATTGCCTGAGAAGAAAGAACACAAAGCGTTTTATGACCATCATTTATGATACGATAACGACCTTTGGAGGCAGGCAGCTATTAACGATATTCAATTCAATCCATCTGTTGTCTTTTTCACATAGCTTAATCAGTATTTAGCTTGTAGCTTACTTACAGCAGTTTTATGCACGGTTTTATATCGATGAAGAATAGGATACGAAGAGCAGCACATGTGTGTTTCATCACTGTTCTCATGAAAATCTAATCTTGAAAACGTCGTTCAAACAAATGCTTGCTGCGTTTTTCATTAAAACAGTATAGAAAAAGATAAGTATGCTTAACTATTTCACCACTAGGTTTTAGGTATTATTCGTTATCAAATGGTCAAGAATACTCAATCATTGAAGTTCCTTGAATCAAACGAAAACAGATCGACATATCTCTTTAAGAAAACAAAATATCGATCTGCTATTGTCAGCTCTGGCTTTACAGCAATCGAGTGCGGCTGTGCGTGCGCTAATGTATTGGCATCTATAATCACACACCCACATCTACAGGGTGTGGGCATGGTTAGGAGTGTCTTTGACGAGACGATCAACAGTAACACCCACTCATACTCACCCACCCACACCCACACCCACACCCACACCCACACACCCCACACCCACCCCCACACCCACCTCCACCCCCACACCCACTCCCACACCCACACCCACCCACACCCACACCCTTGTTGTTAGGGGTGTCAATTTACATTTACGTTTCATTTAATTTACGCGTAAATTAAATGAAACGTAAATTTAAATCGACACCCCATACCACAACCAAAAATCAATGGCGGTAGCATTCTAAATGTTTGAATAACATTGTTGAGTACTTTTACTTGGGGTGTCGATTTAAATTTACTTTTATTTAATTTACGCGTAAATTAAATGATAAGTAATTTACATTTATAATAAATATAAATTTCTCATAATTTATATTTATTATAAAGTAAACGATAAATGACACCCCTACTTGTTGTGGTGCTGGAAAATCTAATTCTTCACGATATGCTGTATCAGATTTCTTAGTTACTTCCACCTGATGTAACCAACCACCTTTAAACGCATTATCTATTTCATCTTTTAATGAACGACGGTAATCTTTAACCACCAGACAATCCATACTAAGAGACGAGTCTGGACCTTGACATTGAGCACATAATACCGGTTTTTGACATTAATGATAACGATCTCATGCATCTAAACATTTTCGACAATGTGAACTTACTTGACAATGTGAACGAAAATGACCTAGTTCCCAGCAGTTGGTACAGTATGTCATTTTAAGACCAGGTATAAAAGCAGTAACTGGAAGAAGTATATGACCAATTGCTAAACGACCAATACTAATTATTTCGTCATATTCATTATCATCAGTAACACAAAATCTATAATCATTAGTTGATCGAGGATGATAATACTTAATTTTTGAAAATGTAACTGTTGATTTAATTGATTTAACTATTTCTTTAAATACAAATTCATTTGATAATTCAGCAGGTACATAACGTAATACTAAAGCACAACAATCAGGTAATGCACGTGGACGTTCTATTTCTATTTTAATATTGTTCATATCCTTTGGTCAATTACAATTCCATAGCATTAAAAAATCTTTTTTTGTTGTAACACCAAACTTGTATCTATTTTTACCAGTAGGAATAAACAGGGAAAAATCACCGACTGATTGTGATGATTGTTGTTGAACTACTTTTCGAATCCAGTTGGCGACCTTCATAGCTGATGGAAGTTGTTGTTGAGATGTATCGGTGTCAAGACTAAGATTAATAAAAAAAACATGGTAAATTATTAGATATAACATGTTTGAGTTGGAAAGGTGGAAAACGAAATTGACGTTCTGTTGTTGATGATGATGTTAGGTTGGTCGAGAAACTTGTTGGTGTTGGTTCATGTGGACGAGGTTTTTTTGTTTGTCTTCGACCTTGATTTTCTGAAGAATTACTATCATCAAGTGGTCGTCGTGATGTTGAAGAACTTTTATTATATAATGATGTATTTTGATTGTTGATCAATGCTTTTGTTGAATGAAAGACGAAATGATTAGCTTGCCCATTAATCGAGGTAGATGGCGTGGTATTTGTTGAGGTGGACAGGGAGAAAGAATGGATGAAGAACATGTATGATGAGTCACCATTCTATTTCTTTGTTCACGTGCTTGTAAATCTAAATGTTGTTTCTTGTAAATTTCCGTCATGCCATGAATAAATTGAGAATCTTGTTTCATTTGATTCAGCCAAAACTCAAAATCTGACTGTTCATTTATTGGTTGAAAACCATCCGAAGGTTCCTGTACCGCGGCCATGGGCCTGAGCAAGGAACAGTAATCAGATGTAGATATAGAGAGAGAAAGTAAGAAAAAGATAGTAAGAAACGAGAAGAGAAAAGCAAAATACGTCTTATCGTTATCAATGAAAAGTTGGATGCACTTCATAGAATGCTCGGCACTGATGAATGAGTCTTGATAAAGATTTTGAAATACGTCCACAAAATTCTCTGTTACTAATTTTCGTCGAATCGTTGATTGCTGAAACGCAAGAGTTAAGACATCGTAGATTCGATTTGTTTAGGACTATTTCAATCTGATTTTGTCATGCTAGAGAACGTTATCTATTCTGTGAGTCGGACACAGACTATGGGGTCGAGTCAGGGAGGGATGGATTCACTTTTGTCACTGTACAATTCGAAACTCATTACCAATCGTGTTTCACAAAACTACTGTAGAAAATTTGAATAGTTTATTGTAATAATAGATCAAAAAGAACTTTTCCAGAAAATAATCAGAGAACAGTATGACATAATGAACAAATATTAAGGCAGTCGGGTTTTGCAAGAATAATGATTGCAAGCAAGAATAATAGTATGAAACATCAAAAGCTGCTTGTTGTGTTTACTTTTTGAAATGTTTAATTTATTTCTTCACTATTCAAACTACTCTAACATTCGGCCATTCACCAGTAACTAACATGTTTCTATTTGTTAATACAGATGCTCTGTGCTTCGCTCGTTGACTATTCATGGTACCGTTAGTTATCCAAGTTCCCGTTGATAGATCATACAACTCAGCACTACTTAAAACCACGACAGCACTTCCTCCACCACTAACTAACACTTTTCCATTTGTTAATAAGGATGCTGTATGCTCCATTCGTTGACTATGCATACTACCAGTAGTTGTCCAAGTTTCTGTTGATGGATCATACAATTCGGCACTACTAAAAAAATCACCAAAAGTTCCTCCACCACCAGTAACTAACACTTTCCCATTTGTTAATACGGATGCTGTGTGATCACGTCGTACCTTATCCATGCTACCAGTAGTTGTCCAATTTCCAGTTGATGGATCATACAACTCAGCACTATGTAAAGCATCATCATTAAATCCACCAGTAACGAGTACTTTTCCATTTGTTAATACAGATGCTGCATGCTTCGATCGTTGACCTGTCATGTTACCAGTAGTGGTCCAATTTCCTGTTGATGGATCATACAATTCAGCACTACTAAAAACATCAACAGAATTTACTCCACCAGTAACTAATACATTTCCATTTGTTAATATGGATGCTCTGTGCTGCACTCGTCGACTATTCATACTACCAGTAGTTGTCCAATTTCCTGTTGATGGATCATACAATTCGGCACTACTTAGAACATCAAGATCATTTCCACCAGTAACTAACACTTTTCCATCTGTCAATAAGGATGCTGTATGTGACATTCGTCGAATATGCATGCTACCAGTGGTTGTCCAATTTCCTGTTGATGGATCATATAATTCGGCAGTACTTAGTCTATCACTATTATATTGTCCGCCAGTAACTAACACTTTTCCATTTAGTAATAAGGTCGCTGTGTGCCAATCTCGTGGATCGTTCATGCTACCAGTAGTTGTCCAAGTTCCAGTTGATGAATCATACAATTCGGTGATGGCTAAACTATCATAATCGTTATGCCCTCCAGTAACTAGTACTTTTCCATTTGCTAATATTGCCGCTGTGTGCCGTACTCTTGGATAGCTCATACTACCAACATAGGTCGATCCTACACGAAAACATATGTATGTGCTCATTCTGGGAAGAATGTGTATTGTTGAACACACGCGATGATCTAATGATGTATAGAAAATTTTGGATTTTGTAAAATGAAAATTGTTTCTTGCCAATAAAACAAAGTTTTTCCTGAATTTCTGATGACAGAAAAAAACCTTGAGTTTATTGTAAGAAGTCGTTCATGATACAGTGTGACTGTGGATTTCGCATTTTTGGTAAAGAATTCACATTCATAAATAATACATAAACTAGCTTCGTATTTTCTAATTATCATCACATTATTCACAGAATTAATGCGCTTGTAATCATGAGTTACTCGAATTTGGATCGAAAGAAATTTCGGTTCAAATCCAAAATCATTTTAAGAGACGAAGAGAGTTCTGCCTAGGTGTAATTTTTCATTGCACTGTCGGCTCGGGTTCAAGTTCTATTCGGATTTTTGATCCCAACTTTCCTTATTGATATTCATATAAAACCCTATGTTTGTAAATAGTTCGTATACTGCGTAGCGGTGAGCAGTTTGCTTGGATCTCTATTAGAAGCGTTGTAGTCTTTGAAGATAGTTATTAGCTATCTGAAATAACTGCTAACATGAAAAGCGCAGTGCTTAATAGGATGCAACAATGATGAGCGACGTAAAGAATATGAATGAATTTTCTATCTTCACTTGAGTGTCATTGATATCAAGTGTGTAGGCAATGCTGCCAGTCATGGAAAGATTAGAACAAATGACTTGTTTAGTTTGCGATATCCGATCAAACTCAATGTTATTGGAAACTTGGCTCAGCAAGACTAGAGGTGTTTTCTAAGTCTGGCTATCAATTAGAATAGAAGACGGCTGTGAAAGTTACATGACCCTGAAATCAAGATGTATAGCTCTTCATGACGCAATCATGCTGTATTCTGTGACAGACCCATCCACATTACTTTGCGATGAGAATTTGCATTCGACTGATCAACAAGCAAAAAATCTGTTAGAGAACTATATAAAAATTGAGAATCATGATACAATTCTAGTTGAAGTGAGTAGTGATGGCGACTGCATGTTTTTCATCATTCATACATGTTATCCAACAATGTGTATCGATGAAATTCGTTGTCGTTGTTTGCACGAACTGTGTACACACAAGTAGTATTACAATACAATGAGAGTGGCGAATGGCTTCGATTTAATAGACGATGAATACGTGAAAGATCATATGACACGAATTTTGAATAACAATCAACATATTGGTATTCTCATAATGAGAACTTTAGCAAGTGTTCTTTATTGTGCCATTGTATCAATGTATCCACAAGTGAATAAGATTAACGTCAATTTTGATGTGTTGAATGCAACTTTTTTTCCATGAGAATGGCTAAATTCTATCTTACGAACGTTAATACGTATACTATAGTCAGGATTTGGTATGGATGCTAATCAAGACTGATGGTTCAATCATTTTTTAGCGATGATGGCCACTAGTGAACTGTCACATGCTACCGTAACGACTATCTCTATCAATATATTTGATTTTATGGTGCCAATAAAAAGCATGCATGAGATACCAGTTTGTATGCGCCGCATGACATTGACAATTAGAATTACAGAAAAAAGAAACTGTTGTTGAAGAGGAAAAGGATGAACATGCCTCTCCTATCGCTATATAGTTTCGAATCAAGTCGTTTTCTCGAACCTTCTCGCGCTATTCAACCAATATTCAATGCCATGAAGGAAAATCTAGTTAATTCGCACCCACCAAAAATGATAATCTCTCCGTCAATTTTCATTCGTAAATTCACAGAGGAAAAGTGTTTGGCCATTGGAAAAGATGGTAATGAGGCCTGGAATTGACACAGTTCTTCCGAGACTCAATTTATGATCATTGACAACAACAGTTGTCAAATAGTGCAATGTAATTTCGACGTTTGTTTTTATTACAACATGCGCATTGGAAATTGATATATTTCTTATTCTGCCCAAGAAATCTCGATCATAACATTAAAGCAAATCATGTTTCTTTTCATCTGTATAGTTGATTCCTATACTCGTAGGATATATACATAAAAAAAGAGTGATCCTTCTTTGCTCCGAATAATTTGCTGTATGATTGATGATTTGGAAAACTTGGTTGCCGAAAATCTACCGATATTTCCATAATATATCGAAACTGGAACATACTCAGCACAAAATCACATTCTAAAGCCACACGACAACTCTACAAAATATTGGCAGCCATTTTCTTCAATATCTTCCTCAGTTTTTGAAAAAATAAGAGTATGTTTAATAGTATCGTAGATATTACTTAGAACTTTGTTCGCATGATTAGTCATATCCACAAAGAATGAAGTCGTCGATAACTTATACAAGCTTCGTAGTCGATTTCGAGTAGGTAGTCAATGTATTTTTAATAACGAATGAGAACCATACTCAAGTATAAAATGCTCGACGAATGAGTAATTTATGTGTGGAAGAATACATCGCTGTCATGAGACAGCTAGCGAAACTGAATGGAATCATTGCGTGATTCTTCATGGCTAGGCGTGAAGCTCTTATTGTCATCGTGTCTCAAATTCATTTGTTTCAAGAGATTAAGGGTGGGTGTGGGTGTGGGTGTGGGTGTGGGTGTGGGTGTGGTTGATGGTGTTCTCTTCGCCTACACCAATACACCCCCTCTACAAACATCCTTATTTCGAGTCGCCTGATTTCGTGAGTCTCGTATTACTAATTTGGACGTTATTCTTCAATTAGGCTTTTTTCTGTGTAAATTCCTTCCGTTTTACTAATGCAAGAAAAAAGTTACAATATATCAATGCAAATGATTTCATAAAGGGTTGAATATATACGATTTTCATCGATTACAAATCGACTACAATCAAACAAATCAAAATTACTATTTTTGCACGACTAATTCGACTAAATATGACTATAATATTAGAAGAGAAAAGGTAATTTAAATTACTCTAAAACCATTTAAAATCAACCAGAATTCTCCGAAACATATGAAAAATCTAAAGCTATTTTCGCCGAATTTTTGTTTTTTACTTTCGATGATTGCGATTGACTTTCGGTAAGCTATTGATTCAAGGTAATTCTAGTGTAACCGTTAGCTAGATGCGTAGCAACTACATATACCTGATTTAAAAGCAATATTTAGGTAGATTAAGAAGCGTTTGTGTACAATTTACCTGATTGTTGAGTTGTAGTCGTAGCTGTTGTTAATGGTGTTATTGCCGTTGGCGAAGGTGACATTGCCATTGATGAAAGTGATGTTGCTGTGGTGATATCCCGCTTCTTTGGTGCAAGTATGACGAATTTCAATACCAGAGGAAGTATAATTGCAAGCATTATTACAACGACACAGCAGATGCAAATGATCATAAACCAACGATGGCGCCACCATTTGCGTGGTCTATTGTTTTCATTGACTTGCTCGCTAAGCATCAAGCTGTTATGTATATTATGTTCTACAAGAAACTTAAACTGAAAAAAGAATGAGTGTATGAGTGAAAAGAGCATTCACATCCACACTTATAGGTTCGTCAATACATAAAAGTCTGCTAAAAATGCTAGAGTGCATCAGTAGAAAGGAAACAGAAATTTGTTAAAATTTAAATGACTATGCTAGTAAATAGAAGCAGTCTATAAACGTAGAAAAGACGGTGGTAAAACTATTCCATTCACAAAAAAAAATAATCGATAATACAGATCTACATGAATGAGAAACAATTAAAAATAGTGAAATCATTTAATTGTTTAGAATTTGTGTAGACGGATAAATTGTTCCTTGCGCCGACTATCAAACATTGTATAGAGAAGATTTAGAGTTCATATACTAAATTAAGATGACTGAAGAGAAATAGAATGGTTTCGACTAACATGTTGAAACTATGTTTCTTTGCCTATAACTTTTCCTTCTTTGCGTAGTTTTTTTCTCTCTTCCCCTTACTACACATCCCTCACGAAACGTTTCTAGAACGTAAGTTCAGAATACGTTTAAGGATAGCATATCGATGTACCACTATAGAGGCACATGAACGAATTAATAGAATATCACGTTCCAACCTAGACAAGACGTTATTTTATAACGATCTTTTCTATTGGGATGTCATTACGTATCAAGAAAAGGAATAACAAAGAATTTATGCTGAACAGAAGTTAAACCTAGGGCATCTCTCCAGATTACTCAGACTGAGAAAAATGATTGATAGGTACAAGTTAATTCTAGTCCACTAGTTTCAATTCATCGAAAATCATTCCCAGTAAGAAACTAGATTAGATTAGTGTGTGAGTTCTTCTTAGCTTTTTAACAACACTACCTTCTCTCTCTCTCTCTCTCCAGCTTAAAATACTTTATGATTTATGTTTCAGGGATTCTTTGTCGTTCATATTATATAGAAGAAACAAGTTAGCATATGGTTCGCTTTTCACGTATTTATCTTTTTCCTTTGTTTTTCTTACTGATATTATGTCGCTTTCCATTTTTCTTTTCTCTTCCTTCCTGTTATCATGTTTTTATAAGCGTCAATAGAGGTCATAGAATAAAGCTCACTCAAAAAAAACCTGTTTATTATCTTTTCGTATACAGATGGCTCGTAAGTGTGGTAGTGTGAATATCGAAGCTACTTCACGACCAGTTTCGACCTTGCTCAAAGATATCATCAAATAGTTAGTAGATCTCAATCTTGACTAGCGAATCGTTGAGAATGGCGTGAAACAAGCTACTACAATACAAGTGTACTTCAAATTTGTTTTTGTTTTATTTGTTTTTATTGTTTTAGTTCGTGAAGAATATATATATCTAAAATAGAAAGGAAGATGAATTTATAAATATATAATCGGATAGCTTTTAGATGCTTATGATGACAAATATATTTTAGATCAATCCTAAATGAAGATATAATCATTAGAGTAACAAACTAAAATAAAGTCTTCTGGCAAATGAGTTTAGTAATTTTATGTACTTCTAGATGTAGTCTGTAATATTTACTCGAGATACAATTTTCAATCTTTTATTTTATCAATTATCTTCTTGCAACTCTTTATTTTATTATTTCACTAAGTCAAAACGTAGAGCAAGTTACTGTCAAAGCAATTATCCAGTAGTGATGGTAAAGGTCATAAAAATAGTTCACTCTGGTGATGTTAATGCAGATGCTGACGAAAGCCAATACAATAAAACTTCAAGATGAAATTGAAAACAAGCTTCCATTACAATATCGACTCATAAACGATCACCAACACAATCTTCTCAAATATCAAATGATAACAACATCTCTAATTAGCATACATCAGATGATAATCTCGATGAAGAAGATGAATTCGCTTTTGAACAAGAACAACAAATGGATAAATTGAACAAGAAGATTTTAACATCATAATCAAATTTTTTAACTAATTCTTTCACACTATTTAGATTAGTGTTCTGCACAAGATTTTTTTAATGATTGACTAGTTTTTTGAGCTTAAATGAGCTGTAGAACTCTGGGAATGTTTTAAAATTTATAAATGTTTTAATTTTCTTTCCTCCACAAAACAGTGTGTTGTACTTGAAATTTTCACGTATCTTTTCTAAGAAAAAAAAGCTTTTTAATTTTCTCGGTACGGTTTGTCGTGATTGATGGTGATTAGCTCAAAAAGTATTTTCTGAGCAAGTTTAGATGAAAATCTGAAGTATTGCAGATTGTTTTTTGGCTGAGAGGAAAACTGAGCCAGATACAATTCCTAAATTGCTTCTTGAGTTTCAATCCTCATTTGACCTACAAAAATATTCGGTTAGGTAAACATCTCATCTATTTCAATTGATTATCTCATTCATTGTTTTCATTTCTAGTTTTATACTCAAATTTTTATTATTTTTGAAAACATTTAATTTCGAAAGGCATCTCTAACGCTGCCGAAAAACTATATTTCCTAACAATATTTTCAGCAATTTGAAAAAAGTAAACCTTTCAGAGAAATACTTATAGTAATACATATGACCAAATATGGAATCTGACTGTTCATAGTTGCTTTTTTCTATCATGGTATTTAAATACTTGAAAAATTCGTAGGTTTTATTATATAATAATCTCACAATCGAATAATAATACATTATTCTTATCGAAGAAATATTAAGATATGAAAAAGTATCATATTATAAGAAGACATATATATTATTAACATCTTATAGGAATTAGACTATATAATCATACGAATTTCTTATAAATATTGCAATATTTGTTTATATTTATAATAAATTTTACAGCAGAAAAGTCTCGAAACTGTATCTATTACAATTGTCTTTGACACATACAATGAAAAAAATTGTAATAATGGCATTGGTCATCATCATCATCATCATCATTTTTTACCTGATGATAGCTTTATATCTCACTGAGGGCTACATACTGGAAAAACTTCATTGAAGTCCATGGCATCAATTGAGCACATGGTTTGTATTTGAGTCGTCTCTCTCGTGCAGTGGATCCTAGGGAATTTGTAACTTACTTCTTACTACCTAAAACCTAGGAATTCCTTATGAGTTTCTCAGGAAATCACCAATGAGTCCTTGGGAGATTATTTTCGTGACTCCGTAAGGACTCCCCAATGATTTCGTATTTTTCAGGCGTCTTTCCGAGGACTCTACAGAGAAGAGTCGACTATGGCAGCATTGACGACTCATTGAAAATATTCATCCAACTATTTGTAAGTAACACAAAATCAAAAATACAAATGCGTCATTAAATGTTAATCAGTTGCATTCATATCTCTGATGTAGTTTCGGACAAAATGATGGCATATGTGAGCCACGATTTAGTATTTAATCATATAATACGATAGATAACGTTGCACTTTCTCATACAAAGTGCAGGAACACACTACTTTATTTCATATTTGCTATACACTTTATTAGAAAAATATATTGTAAATTAGCGTTTTTGGAAAAAAAATAGAAAGATGAAGAGAAAAAAATGAACTTTTAATACTACATTGATATTCAGTCTTTAAAGAGTTAGATGATATCGTTCATCAGCTATGTATTCTTTTTCATTCTATTATATAAAATAATTGCATTTCCTCAAATTAATCTTGATCTTACCGATTGGATAAATGACAATGAAAGGGTGTCGGCGTGGGTGTGGGTGTGTGGGTGTGGGTGGGGTGAGTGTGGATTTCGGTTGAAGTAGACTACAACACCCACACCTAGGCAGCACACCCACATCCACACACACCCCACACCCACCCACACCCCACATTTACATCCACACCTAGTGTGAAGAAAAAAGGAATTGAGAACAAATCATATAATTATTGTGGCTTTCAAATTAATATTGTTGATTATGTTATTCACCTAGTTTCTTCACACTTGAGACGAATCTTGGAAAATGAAGTTTTTGCCTTTGAAAAACTGTGAAATCGAAAAAGGGTGTAAATGTGGGGTGTGCGTGTGAGTGTCTTTGGTTACATCATCCACACCTACACCAATATTCTCATCATAGACCATGATATACATGCCCATATGCTATTTAGAATTTTTCACTCACTATGAGTTCCAGCTTCTGGAATTTAAATCAATTCGATTGTGGATCGCTTGTGAATTTAGGGTGTGGGTGTGGGTACGCGTGTGAGTGTGAGTATTCATTTTCTGTATAACCACGTCCGCACCCACACCCAACACGTGAATATAATCATGTGGTTTCTTTTTTGTATTTGCCATATTTGTGTGTATTTAGTATTAATGTTTTTTTTGTTTGTCTTAAAAAAGCATCTCGAAATTGACTTCGGGTACAAGAAATAAGAATTAATTTAGCACCATAAATATAAATCTGATCTACTGGATCGATCTGAAGAGTTGTTAAATGATATTTCTGATATAACAAACTGAAATTAGATAATTCTTAAGTAATTTTTCCGATTTAATCAAAATCTTGACTTTTTTAAATATTGATGAAATTGTATCTTTTTCACATAATGCTGATAAATCTTGCATAATGGTATTGATTTTTGATAATAAAATTCGTACAATCTATTTGACATAGTGTTTCTCTACATGGATTGTTAGATATCGTATACAAGAACACAACTCAACAAGCAGTTCGATGCTATCTAACTGATATATCTGTTCAAGAATAAGATGTTTAATCATATTCCTATTAGATACAATTTGAAAGTCTTCATATTGCTTAATCATCTAAGGATGCTTTTCATAGCACACTGAACTTTGAAGAATTAATGTATTGATATTAGGTAATAATCGTAATAATTTGACAATACGTGCAAAATCAAAATAGCCGATATTAATATCTAGAATAGGTACTCGTTTCAAAGGAATGATATTATTGAGATTGTTTGTCGGAGAATCTAGACTGTTGATGAGATGAGATGCAAATGTAAGTTTAGTAACATTAGGAAAATAATTTATGCATCTTATCAAATCTTGTTCATTTTGAATGTGAATATGACTAATTGAATCTAGCTGAGAAGCGAATTTTTCATCGAACTTTGTTTGTAATGCATAACCGTTTCTCCTGAAAAATGAAAATACAATTATGCTAAAAAGGATTTATTTAAACCTGTATGGATTTGTTAAAAAAACATTCATCGATTTTGAAGATATTCTCGATAGAACCAGTGTGCGAAAACCATTGTCGTTCAAACCAAAATGAAGTTTGAAATTGATTGATTAGAATTTCATATCTTGGTTCATCATATAGATTAAAGGATTTTGCATACATAAAATCAAAAAATACTTAAATGTGGCATAGAAGTTAAAATATATCGTTCCCAACGATTTGCATTCATATATGCTATATTATTACTAGTCGAAATATGTAAGATTTTAAGTTATTAAAAAAAAGGTTTTGATTCATTGATTCAAATTCATCAAACATTATTAAAACATCATTTAGAGAAATATATGCTAATTGTTTTAATACAACTGAATACAAATCTGTTTGTTTTTTCAATGGAACTATGTAGACAATGAACGAACAAACGTCGAAGATAAGGAATATATGGTACTAAAGCATTTAGATGGTTAAAGGATAAATTATTCTTAATCACCATATGTTCGATACGACTTTATTCGTTTGTCGGAGTAGATAATGGTTTAAACCCAACATAACCTTTTAATGATAACTTGCAATATTTTAATACAAGTAAACGAAATATGTGCAGATAAAGATTATTCGATTTTAGAAGACGATCAGCAAATAGTAATGATTATCGATGATAAATTAGATAAAGAAACTAAATCTTCCAAAATCTTTGTGAAATTTTGTGATTTGATATTACCAAATATAATTCTTTCTAATCGAGTAAATTTTGATGCAATGTGAACTTGTGTAAAAAAACAGATTCATAGAAAAACGAATTTGATAAATAAAGAGATTTGATTCGATGTTTATAAGGAATGATAATATATGTATAATAATTTTCAAAAATCTGATTTGGACATGAATGACATATTGATATTAATAGGAATAGTCGAGTCAATCAGAAGAGTTTGAAAACATTTGTTAAGATTATAGAATGCGCCATATACATGTTCAAAATCGAGAAAGAGTGTGGGCGTGGAGTGTGGGTGGATGAAGAGAGCATCCAAACTCACATCTGCACCCTTCTATATTCTGATACTTACAATAACAAAATACACAATGGTTAAATGAACGGTCAGATATTACTAGAGAAAACATTCTTAAAGTATCATTAAGTTTCTCTAAATAGTTACTTTAGTTTTTGAAAAATACGGTAGCTACATATAGATGATTTCTATGAGTTGTATAACGATCTGCTTCTTTTTGATCATAGTGTTGATGTTTTCGCATTCATTAATTAGTAGAATAACAACTATTCTATAGATATAATATTGTTGAATTTATATTTTTTGAACGATATATTACGACTAACAAATCTTCAATACATATTCAAAAGAAACCTGTTGATCTTCTTCCGAGTTTGTTGTAATATCCTAAACTACGCAGATTTTGACAAGTTCAATTAATCTGTGCAGAGGCGGCGGAACGATTCTAATCTAGGGGAGGCTCAAAACTCCTCAGGCGGTGATACGAAGGTGATGTACGAGAAGGGGGTATTTTCTGGCTTTTCAACCCTAACTCTTATCAAAGAGATATCGGATATCTCGATGTTTTTTCAACAGAGTTTATTTTGCATATATCCTTCTATAGGTGACTGATATAATCTTGGAATGTTTTGGAAAGATGTTCTATGGAAGTTGTGAATCTTTCGTGATTTATTTCTTTAGTATTTACAGGATTCGTTTTAATCACAAAATTTCTCTGCTTCATAGCATAGAACATAATATAACTCTATTAAAAAAACCATGATTTTGAAGAAAAAGCTTTCATCTTCAGTTGTTCTTCATCTGAAGTCTTGTCTACTTTCATCTTCGATCACATGCCCGTGTTTGCCTCAATTTCGTTCAGTTGACGATGAAAGTAGTACATAAGTACAGGAACTTACAGAAAAATTTCGAAAAAATGAATCATAGAAGCTGTTGTTGAATTCTCTACACCAATGCATCACAATGTCTTGTCGACCTGTTGTAATGAGTTCTTAGAATAGTGAAACATAGGATATATAAAACATTGCTATGTCATATCATACTGAAAGTAATAAAAATATTTGTCATATTTATTTTCTCACATAAAAACCATGAAAACTTGAATCTGTTTTTAAAGAAGCAAAATGTTCTCCTGAATTGTCTTAATTGGTTTTGACAGAACTAAAAGCAAAGGCGTGCAAGATACTATATTTTTCACTTTTCTGAAATAAATTTGCTTCACTATTTAAATAACTAATTGCCTAACTGTTCAATTTTAATTCTTTAAGGCGATCTTCAAACAGCAAACATATAATTTTGGTATTATCATTGCATTCAGTATTGTGTTTTAATGCATTAAACTTGATTTTGATAAGAATTAGGCTTTTTGTAGCGTTCAGTTTACTGTTATCGTGAAAAATTACACAGCGCCGTACAGCATTACTTTTTTCCTCCTTTCCAAATTGATTACAATAAACCAGGAAAACCTTTTTCTATGAATATTGTGGAAAGTGTAATCACACATCGTTAAAAGAAATTCATATTTTTATCATTTTCTGGCGAAAATAACGTGCGGTGCAAAAGAAATGGAAAAAATGTCGAAGTCTGTTAGACCATATCAACTTCTCGATCAATAATTTTTTTTTGTCGGAAAGAGCAATGTCTGAACTGCAACTTTTGTACCGCGCATATTTCTTCAGAACGTCTCTGAGAAGGAGGAAAACCCAAAAACTGGACATCTCTATAAAAGTGCTTGCAACGTTTTTGTAATTTGAAAAATCAGTATTACTTGATTATTTTGAGCTACATAGATCAAGTTTTAATCTAAAATACACCAAAATGGAGTGCATTAAAAACACTATCAATACCACCTTAGGTAAATTATTTTATGTCCATATTGACTCTTTAATCAGAAAGGTTTGAAAAATGAAATTTTTGTAAAATAAAGGCTTTTACAAGAATTATCAGTTTGCAAGAATATCAGCCATCATCTATAGAAATCACACATAAATTCAATTCTTGTTGTGTTATTTGTGTGAAATATGTGAGATCATGAAAACTTAGCAGCAAAAAATAATTCAAAAAAACATTTTTTTACCTTTGCAGAACGGTCAGGTAGTGAGCACGAGCAAATCACGCAGTCTCTTTCAGAAAAATCAATACTTTGATATGAAAACCAAAGATAAATTTGACATGCAATATACCACTGAAAAGAGCATTCTTTTTGCTACAAAAATTATCATTAAACGTGATTTGTATATCCTCTTCTGATGTAATAAATATTCAAAGAAAATAAAAAATGATGCTGCTAAGAGATGAAGTTGCAAGTACTGTTTTAGAGACATCCAGTTTTTGGCTTTTCCTCCTTCTCAGAGACATTCTGGAAAAATATGCACGGTACAAAAGTTGTAGTTCAGACATTTCTCTTTCTAATATAAAAAAAAAAATTATTGATCTAATAGTCGGCAATAAGGTCTTATAGACTTCGACATTTTTTCCATTGCTTTTGCACCGCATGTTAGATGCAAAATAGGTATTATTTCATACAGTAAGCTAGCAGGAGTTTTTGATAGTTATTTTGGACACCACCGGCAACGTATTTTTTGAAAAAAATTGAAGATTTTAGCATTTGTTCATCCAAAGATACATGCAATATAAGCTATGTTGATAACATTTTGTGACATTCATTCTCAAATTCTGAATGACATTTCTAAAATTTTCTCAACTATCGGATCCCTCTCAGATGTTGCTTTTGATTTTTAGGTGAGACTTGAGCTTTCTTAAGCGCAACTGGTTTGCCGCTTATTGTGCTATCTAGCATGAGACTGAACGTACTATTGTTCAAAGAACTTTCGCATACTAAATATAAGCTCATGATAAGATTTGTGAGGTTTTTCCAAAATATAAGCCTTCCCAAGCCTCCCCTGCCTGTTTTTAGGGGAGGCTTGAGCCTCCCCAAGCCTAATGGCTCCGCCGCCACTGAATCTGTGTATGCTAATTGAAAAATGAACAAAAACTATTAAGTTCTATTTGATTGATCATTTCGTATACATATTGAAGAGTATAATAGAGAGAAGCACTCTCAAAGTTCTTTTTACTTCTACAATCTAAACTAAGTTAACATTTGTATTCCTCAATTTCTGTTTCAATAGCTGCTGTACGAATTTTTCAGCAAAAAGGATGAGATCGCCAAACTGGACGATTAAAATACAAGACAGCTATTTCAGTGTGAAATTCTCGATTCGATTCAACCCAATCTCGGAAATCCTAAAAATTTCTTCGAATCAAATGAATTTTATTCATAAATCTTAGGAGATATTTTTTAACTAAATTCCATCTAACTGTTTGAGTTTAAAAACTTATCCAACTCAACTGTATTCATTCATTTTATTTCCGAAAACTACTTCCAATTTAAATCATGAGCAGAAATCAATTAAAGTGGATATCGTTATTTATAATAAATTGTTGTTTTTTTTAATCCTATCGATAACTTTTCTCATAAAGAAATAACCACATACAACAAATTCTATTAACGGTAGTTTTCTTGATTATTTATAAATGAAAAGTATTTCACAATTTTATGTTTGATTGACAATGTTTATCATCGCCAGAAATAGATATCATCATAAAAATCTTGTGTTATTCGTTTTGCTTGATAATCATCAATAGTTTCCTTTGATTCCATAACAGTGTCTATTGTTACAATTTCTTCTGAAGAAAAATCCGTGACACATATATAGAATAAACATTGAGTATTGCTGTTGTTTTTCGATAAGAGATATCGTAAAATTCCTTCAAAATCATCATATACTGGACGCATTCTAAGACATTCTAATTGAGAACAAAGATGAATAAATAATTTTATTTCTTCAAATGCATATATTGAATTAATAGTTAAATTTTTAATTTTATTTCTAGTTGATACTAATTGAAAAATTTCAGTTTGTTGAATTGATGCTAATTCTTTCTTATCAAAACATACATCTTCAACGGTCAAAGTATGAATATTCGATGTTGAATATAATAGTTCAATCATTGTTTTGAAGAGAAATGATTTAACATTGATATTTAATTTGGTGAGTTGTGTCAAAGGAACAATATGATTGAGAATAATTGAAGGAGGATTTCCATCGTCATAAGAGAGAGTCAGTTCAGTAGCATTTGGAAAATAGTTTCTACAATCATTTATCGTTTCTTCTTGTTTGATATAAACATAATGAACGGAATTTATATTGTTTTTCTGATAATTTGATATCATATCTTTGCTTGGATTTCCATATAATGTATAAGATTTTCTTCTTCAAAGTAAAAATAATATAAACGTATGCTATATAAATAATACAGGGTGGCTCATAAGTAACGTAACCGAGAAAAAAAATTCAATATCTCCATTACAGCTCAAGCAAACGAGCTGATTTTTTTGTCAATGATCGAGGCATATTCAAGCTTCATATCCATAAAGACAAGCCTAGATAGATCCTTTGTCAAATATCACTAGTGACCTCGACAAAAAAATTTTCTTTTTCGCAGATAGGAAAAAAAAACAATATGCTTAACAAACGGTCTCTCTAGGCATATCTTTATGAATATGAAGCTTGAATATGCCTCGATCATTGACAAAAAAATCAGCTCGTTTGCTTGAGTCGTAATGAAAATATTGAATTTTTTTTCTAGGTTACGTTACTTATGGGCCACCCTGTATTTTTCTGTTATACCTGTACGGATTTGTAGAAAAGAGAACTCGATAACAATCATCACCTGCTGATTCAAGAATAGATGTGAAGAACCATTGTCGTTCAAGCCAAAACTGAGTACGAAATGATTCGATCATGAAAATATCAGCTGTGTAAACGTTTTTCTGTGGAAAATATTCCCATTGAATGCCAAAAATTCGTAAATATGGCATATAAGATAAAATTAAACTTTCCCATCGATTTGCATCTAAATATGTTTTATCATTTGTAGCTGTAATATATAACACTTGAAGTTGAAAAAAAATATGTTTGATTAATATTTCAAATTGATCAAAAATAATATTATTCATATTAAGAGATGCATGTGTCAAATGATTTAGTTTGATTGGACATGAAATTATTTGTTCGTTTGAACATTGCCATAAATTACCGAGAGATAAACGACGAAGTTGAGGAATATATGACAAGAGAACAGTTAGTTTATGTATATCAAAGTCATTATTGATAATAAGATGTTCAATAGGACTGTATTCATTAATTGAAATATGTAATGATGATTCCATCAGAAGGTAATTGTTGAACGATATTTTACAATATTTTAACATCGGCAAACGAAATATTTCATGATATAAATTATTTGTAACTCCTCCTTCATCTATATTAGAGATTACCAATGAAGATAGATATGGTAAAGAGATTAAATAAATGAGAAGATTTTGAAGATCTTTTGATTGAATATCATATAAAATAAGAGTTTCAAGTCGAATCAATTTTGATACAATGCAGTTGTGCGTGAGAAATATATCAATAGAAAATGGATTCGATAAATGAAGTGATTTAATTCGATGTATATTAGGTATAATAATTTGTTTGTAATACTTTTGAAAATCTGATTTAGATATGGATGACATATCAATATTAACAGGAAGAGTTAAATTTGTTAGAAAATTTTGAAAACGTTTATTAAGATTAGAGAATGCGTCGTATGCATGTCGAAAATCAAGAAAATCAAATATTTCATAGATGATATCGTTTGAAAGATCTTCAAAACGAATTATAGACTTCGTCAATGAACTGAAAGAGAAAGATGATTTTTTTCAAAAATATTCTGTGATAACTTACTTGTTTGAATCGGCTGTTGATACTATACAAACAAAAATAAGATAGTATGAAAACATTGATTAAAACTTACCGTTTAATCTTTTTCTTTTACTATCATTACAATCATTAACATAGTTACTTTGTAATCGCTTTGGATATTCCATATTGAAATGACACGTATAATCTCTGAAAAACAGAGAAAAAAAAACGAACACAATAAAAGAAAAATACAAGGTGAGAAAAAAAATGAAATAAACAAAAAAGTAAAACCTAGTAATAACTAACAATGAACAAAAACATCGATAATCAAAAAACAACAACAAACAAAAATGAGTGAGAGAAAATGAAGATTGTCCATCGGTATCGTATCTTCATAGATGGCGATCCTAACAAATGTTTTACACGCAAGTTAATCAAATTCATAGAATTGTTTTCCAATATAAATGAAATAAAAGTCGCTCGATAGTTGACGATTTTTGAGTCATCAAACATATGTTAATGTACAAGTGATGAAAAACTGTGATTCAGTATGTATATAAATCTTACCAGCTACTAATTTCAATGATGTATTTTTTCGGTGAGTTAAATAAAAATAGATTCCTTCGATATAAATCATAGACAATTATACGAACAGAAAAGAGACGAATCTCCACTGCTCTTCATACTAATAACAAAATATATTCAGAATTTTAAGAAAAAAGACATCAATGTTCATTTCTGTATTTCTCATACATATATGATTGTAAAACATTGTCTGTTGTATTATTCCACCTTTATTATTGACATTTCTCGCTATAAATCGGAGACAGCTTGAATGATGTAAATATTTTGAAGTGAAAAGCCTAACATGTATCGTCGTTTATTTAAAAATACATGAAAATTACATGTTTGATTAACAATAATTTTCATCTCCATAGATAAATACTGGCATAAGACAAGTGTTTTATTTCCTTCGTCAGATAATCATCTGAACTTTTTCTTAGTTTGATAAAACTATTCAATATGCTAACTATGTTCTCACATATATTTGTGACACATAAGAAGAATAAATGTCGAGTATTGATATTATCTTTCGATAAGAGATATTGTATAGTTGCTTGAAATTCATTCTTTGATGCACACATTTTGATCGAGGACATAGATGAATGAGTAATTTAATTTCTTCTAATGTATATGCCTTCGTCATAATCAGATCAGTTATATTAATATTTTTTGATACTAATTGAAACATTTTAGTTTGTTGAACAGACAGTAAATTTTTGCTGTTCAAATATGTATAGTCAACTGTCAAGCTGTAAATATTAGGTGATGAACATAACAGTTCAATCAGTGTTTCAAAACGAAAACTTTCAACATTGATGTCTAATTTTGTGAGCTATTCTAAGGGGACAATACGACTGGAGGGTGTGAGTGTGGGTGGGTGTGGGTATAGGTGTTCTTGCGGGTCATAATAACACCTACACCCACATCCTTACTTAAAGAGTGACACTCATATGGAACAGAACTAAAAAATTCCTGGGCATTTTTCTACTTTTTGGGGAAATATAGGAAACAGAGGATTTTGAACTCAAATATCTGATTCGATAATAATAATATAGGGTTTATAGGAAATATAGGACTAATCTGAGCCTAATTGATAAAATGAGACAACAAAAGAAAGCTTTTGCTTTGATTAAAATTATAGATCGTTAAAATCAATAGAATATTTTCATCTGTTTGTTGTTTATCTTTGTTCTATGAACAGAAAAGTTTTATTCAATCGAAATAAAATTAGCAGGAAAATCATTATTTTTTATGTTTATATAATAATTTGAATTATCAAATTGAATAATTTTATCAAAAACTCTGAAGAATAAATTCTCTCGTTTCTAATGAATTGTTTGAAAGATCGTGCAAAACAAAACAGAATGAAATTCACGAAGAGATTTAAAAAATGATGTTTGCCGATAGAATCCTGTAGGGTAAGGTTTTTTCATACCCTAACCCTACCCTAACTCTACCCTATCCTAACGTTTCCTACCCTAACCCTACTCTATCCTTATAGGATAGAATAGGGTAGGGTAGGGTTACCCTGCAGGACTCTATTTGTCGACAAAATACCATTTCCAATTTGATTAGACGATGTTTTGTCTAATTTTCAACGAGAGAAGGACTTTTCAGCTTTATCTTTTGATCTTGCTATTGCATTGGAAGAGGAAAAAATGCGAAACTTATTTTATAAGAATAGTTTACAATGAAAAAGAAACCATTTTTCCCATTAAAAAAAATAACATAGTCATCATTTAATATCTTTTGATTCAGTCTGTAATTTCGATTATTTAAAGAAAATTGACAAATATATTTTAGATAAACACATTTTGCTAAGATGAAAAAGACTCTTTTTGTTTTATTTTTCACTTATAAAATAGTGTCAATAATTCATTTCTCTTCTTTTCATTTTATTGCTAACTGTTCTTTTTTTATTGGTAATTTTATTCATAAGTCGTTCTAATCTTCTACAGTTTTGATCATATTGATTGTAGAATACTTCACGTTCTATGCTTCAAATTTGTTACTATGGATTTGTCGAAGTTTAAATAATCTTTTACTTCACCTTGATAGCTCACTCTGAATGCTATTGTCATACGAATTTTCAAACGTTTTAACTACTTACTACCATATTTTTACTTATTTCACCGATCGAATTTAAATGAAATTTTTTGTTTTGAAAAGAAGAATCTGTTCTTGTAGAAGAAACAAATATTTTTCTCTTACATTGATATTTCGAAAAAGTTCTATAACATTTTCATTAACTATATTTTTATGTTCATGTAACAATCAATTTATGAACATAGATTAGGAAAGAGCTGTTAAGAGTTAATAAATTTTTCAAATATCAATTAATTATCTATGTAAAAAAAAATTACAAAATATTCGCTCTTGTACTTTTTCTTTTCAAATAGTCATCAGTTGAGTGTGGATTCAGATAATATATCTCATTTCTATACAAATCTAATAAATTGATCAACAGAAAAAAGCACTAGGGTGTGCAACGATTCTTTTATTCACTTAAAAAAAACATCAAATTCATTTTTTCATCTCAATGAAGAGTTTTGTGTTGATGCAAATACATCAATTAAGAAAATCATTAGAAAAGATAAATTTCGGATTGTGTATAAGTGTTCATAAATGAACGATATACGCAAACCTAAAACATACAACGCGGACAGCATGTAATACAAAAACAGTTATGAGACAGTGATGGACACATCATGTGAAGATCGCTAAAAAAATTTTGCTTTTTACCCATTTTTTTCTCGTACTTATTTCACTATCATATTTTTTTAAAAGGAATGTTTTATTTATCAACAATTACAGATGCCCAACAAGAGACAAATGCAAATTCATAAAAAAAATGATTTATTTTACAAGAATATATCACTAAATATGAACCTGCTTAAAGGACATCTGTTGGTTTGTGCATATCTTTAAATTGATATCAATTTCAAGTTTGAGAAATCCTAACATTCTACTGGTTTCTAATCATAATCATTTCATTTTGAATTAGAGCGATTTGACGTTCAAATCATAGATATGTGTATTATTGATAATTTTCTAAGAGAAGTCTAGATTTGTCTTGACTATCGACATCGAACTATTGAGTGGTCGAAAACATTGTTCCATCGTGCATTCATTTTCAACTTCTTGGACACGATTTGACGATTCATAATCTATCGAAGTTTCGATTACTTGAAGACAGCAAGTCCATAGGAAAGATAGTTTCGATCACTCGAAACTAATCGAAATATCGAGTACTTGGTGGGACAAACATATTGAAAAGCATAATTCCTATTTTTCGTTTTAACTTTGATTGCTTAAAAAGTCTCAGAAATTTTGTTTTTGAATGCTTGTTTTTTTACTCTTATTGCATGATCCTTTTAGGGAATTTTGGTTTTCTACAGGTTCTTTCACATAGTTTGATCATTTAAACAATGTTATTTATCATTTACAACTAGAACAACGATAGAAATATGTTTACAGTCCTCAGGAAAAAATAATCATAATGAATTTACTTTCATAACGTCCCAAATTTCCTGAGCTTTTGATTAACTCTGATTTTCGATTACTTGTTGACAAAGAAAGTTCATGGAATCATTTAAAATTATCGATTTATTTTTTACTTGTCGAAATTACTGAGACGGTTGAATATTACAACCTTAGCAGGGATATAGAAGTCAAGTTTGTTTAATTTTAGTTCAATATTTTTTGTTGCTTTTTTTTAAATAATCTAATTAATTACAATGTAATTTATGTTCTAGCATAAATTTTTTTTAATACATGAAACTGATAACAGAAGATTGCTTTAATTTCAGATCAACAATGGCAATATTTACGAATTGCTTTTCAAAAAAAAGAACAAATTAAATTTATATTTAAAGCAAATAGAGAAAAAAGATACACAGGTTAAACATATTTCATGATGATACTTAGATTTATCTAAAATTAAAACGTTATATTTAGTTCATCTGATCTATGCAAGCTTCGCATCTGTAAGTATATATGTTCGAACCTCCACTACTACAAAAATATCCGATAGGTATCGAGTGCTCGAAAAAAACTAGATTCAGGGAGCGCGAAACTTTTTTTGAAATTTTAGAAGAACGTTCGAGTACTCGGAATATCGATCCCCCGCGACGATGCTCTGAGAATCGGGCTCATTGAAACCCATCGAGAAGGGTCCTTCGGTGGGCATCGAAGCGCTATTTCGACATGTCGGAGTGCCATTTTCCGACAGATCGAGAGGACGACAATGGATGAACAATTCTTAATTTTATCAATCTATCGGATGGTTCAGATCGACACCTCGAAATACCCATCGAATGACCGATTGGGCAATACCTATAAGGTGAAAAAAATTCAACAATAGTACATCAAACACAGCCAACACTATATCTCTCAAAAGTAATAGAAAGACAAAAAATAACGCGTATGTCATGATTTAAAGACCAAAGAAGTGGACGAAAAGACTCACTGATGATTTTTTTAAAAATTCAGTACAAAAAAAACTCGTATATCCATTTAATCATGAAACATGCAGAAGAGAAGCTTGATATCGCCGAAACATGTTTAATATAGTTGTTACACTTACTTTTGAATTGCAAAGAAAAATTCATTGAATAGATCTAAAATATTCACAACGATACAATCATCAAAATTCTTCCAGACTCATAATCTCGGCAAGTTTCGTGTAAGTAACCTTGTTTAGTTTAACAAAACTACAAGCAATCATTATTATGTTATATAGTGGTTTAAAAAAATGCATCATTGTTTTTTTTATTTAAAATTTTGTTTTTAATCTTCAATGAAGAATATTATTGGTGCCGTTGGTCTTCTCGTAATTGTGCTTCCTTTTGCTACTATAAAATCAAGCAATGCAAAAGTCTCATGTCTTTCTTGTTGGACGACTCCGTATTACAATATTACAAGTGATTTAGCACTACATATGCATCGTTGTGTAATGGAAGAAACGGATCAATGTTATGGTGGACTCTCTGTGACCTATACAAATAAACGACAACAGGTTTCTCCTAGTTTTCTTGGAGTCTCACATGATTTACTTAATTTTGAGAATGAGGAAGACTATATACATGAAGCTTTAACCATTTCATTGGAAAAATTTTATGTAACACGCGCAATGTCTGTTATGTGCTCCGAATCAATAAATTGTTCGGCATATCATGCACAGCTCTTCTATAAAAAAAGTAAGTGATTGTCTCTTAAATGAATTATCTTTTTACATAAAGTATGATTGTCATTTGCAAAACTACTTAATTCAAAGCATTTTCTAATTTAAACTGTCGAAGATATTATACTAATTAACAAATATTTTCTTCATTTTTATGTTTGTTTGTTCCTTTGTTCCAATGTCAATATGGAAAGCGTTATCGAATCTATTATATTCTTCAACATCGACTGATACTGATTTGGTTTGCTTAGATACTAAATCCAATGGATCAGTTTCTTGTCTCAATGGAGTCTGTCGTATGAAGATTTTTGATCACATCCGCACTATGTCTTCTGAATGTTTTCAAAGAAAATCAGGCCACAAACCACATGTTTTACATTGGTATCGATTTGGAAGATCTTCTTCAAGTTTGGACTTTTCTTGTAATAAACCATTATGCAATTCACAGAAAACAAAACAGAAAATCCATAAAATATTGGCTTCTGCCAATATTATCTAAAAATCAAATATATTTGTAACATCATTAATAAATCCAAATAATTACGAAGTGTACGATAAAGGAGTCTAAATCAAAACAAACTATACTTTTATTTGTTGTTTTTTTTTCTTTTGCTTATCATTTATGTGTGACAAATTCAGAAAATGAATTAATTCTCAAGTTCAAAACTTAGTTCAAGATCAAAATATTGAAAGTTCGTTTGATATACATCAAATTACTACTGAAATAAATCTTGAATAATCTATTCTTTTGCTGTAAGAATTCGGAAAAGATGAAATATGTAATAATGTTGCAGATAAATGACCCAAGTGAGTGAAAGACAGGTTAAATGGCTGGCCTTTTTTAATCCTGTCAACTTGTTCTGACTACTCTTTGTTTCAACAAGTCCTCGATCAGAACTAGTCTGAAATTCGACTCGTCATGTCTGCCCGTCTTGATATATTGATTGACGGTTGTCATAAAGGATGATAAGGGTGTGGGTGTGGGTGTTAATGTGGGTATGAGTGAGTGTGAGTGAAGAGAAGACGCATACTCACACCAACACCCACACCCTCAAGTTCATGCACACAACCACCGGACGAATAAACTGGAAGTCAACAGAAAAGAATCATTAATAAAAAAAACCCAAATTCACGAAAAATGTTAATAAAATTGACGAACGTTCTAAAGTTTCAAAAAAAAATGAATTTTCGAAGTATTATTTCTTATTTAGCAAAAATAAACGAAGCAAGGCAAAATGAACTATCTATTGTTTGAAACAGGCATGCCAGTTTTCTTTTTCAAAATCAATTCCATAATATCCTTCTGGACATGTTCCTACTGACAGTCCATCACATGTTTGTCCTTTGCCTTTATTAATCACACCACAGACCGTACCGGATAAATCTGCGATTGTAGGATCGTTCTTATAACATATATAACGAAAATCTTGTGTGTATCCTTGAGGACACACGTTAATCGGGCTGAGTCCACCACATCGAGCACGTGCTAGACCACCACATAAAGTTCCGAGTATTCCATTTTGTTTACTAGTTGTAGTATTGGTTTTGTAACAATAAGCACTACCATCTTTGAATATTTGACGAGAATAGCCAGAAGGACATCCATGACGTGGATCTGACCCGTTGCATAAAATGGGACTAGATGTTGTGTATTCAGCCCAGCCACATACTGTACCACGATAGATTGTGATGTCACCAAAACAGACAGAAACAATGATGAATACCAGTAGAATTACAAGAGGCTTCATGTTTATTACTAATCATGATAAGAGACAACTGCTTCAGTTTATGTATACATAGCACAGGTGATAAGGACCGCAAACACATTATCGTGTGAAAGATTGACGTCAACAAAGCAAAATAGATAGTGTTTATGGTATCAGTCAAACGAAGAGTCATTCATAATTTGTGGTAGAATGTTTATATTTGAGGATTATGAAGAAACATCATCTGTTATTTCTACATCTTTAATTGTTGTAATTCATTTCTTTGATTTCTCGTTCATTTGTTTGCAGATTATTCTTCATCAGTCGAAATCTGTCGAAAGCATCAATCCTCCGAAATGTTCCGGTGAAATCTTTGTTAATTTACAGTACAACTTGGAAAAATGATATTTTAGTTATTACTCATTCACGTTGTTAACATTCTTTCGATAAAGATTAGCATCGAATAGAAAAGAAAAATCAAGTGTAACTGAGTAATGTATGGTTTGTATTCGTGGAAAAATATTTTGAAATTGAGTAGGCGAACAGCGAAAAAACTTGATCGAATAGTGTGAAGCAGATGATAAGAAGCAGTTGATCGTCAAAGATGATTTTTTGCTATATACACAATGTTCCAAAATTAAAATGTATCCTCGTTCTTTTGTGTATATGACTTTGTTTTATTTTAAAGAAATCATGTTGTTGGTGTGTGAATCATAGATTTTTATACATATAGTTATCTAGTATCTATTTCTACTTTCGCTTGCCTCTATCTATTATTACATTAAAAAAGATAGACTGAAGATACTTTTGTAACAATAAGCACTTCTTAATTATTATATTTTTCCGAATTGCAAAGATTATCGTCTTCTAGGAACACACTTTCTTCTACCAATGAAATAACTTGATAGTACGCCGCTAGCTGTTCGAATGAAGATAATTTGTCAATACTGAGCTACAAATTTCAAGAGAGTTCCAGACGGAAAAAATTTTGTAGTGTCTACAATAGTTTCATCACCTGATCATCTCACGGGGGAACCTTCTCAGGCATTACCCTTCGATTTTAATGAATTTTGGTCTATAAATACTACATAGTGTTCTAGTAAAAACTCTAAAAGGATTTGTGCTCCTACACCTTTCTGCAATAGTTGTGAGTACTTTAATTTGGTGCCTGTAAGGCATACATACGATATCTAAGAGAGGATTCGCCAGACTATGAATGATACCAGTAGTTACTTAATATATTTTGTCTGCCGTTTAGTGTACATGAAAGACTGTATCGGGAAACTTACAAATATAATATATCAAATTGTTTTGAATTATTCATAAAAAATGCTACGGATCACAATTATCAAATTTTTGTGGTTCGACCATAAAAATAAAAAAGAAAGAACTTCCAGCTTTTGGATAGGTTTTTTAAGAACTTTCCTATATTTGACTGACCCTTTGGGCCAGGAAAGACTTTACTAAATACAGAAAATGGTTCCCTACAAAATGTACTATACAACTATTCACGACAAGAAGTTTTAGTAAGTAAGTGAACTTCTACAAAAGAAGTCTGCTTGGTCCTGGTTGGGTGTGGGTGTGGGTATGGATGTGGGTGTGGGTGGGTGTGGGTGTGGGTGGGGTGTGGGGTGTGGGTGGGTGTGGGTGGGTGGTGCGTGGGTGTGAGTGGAAGGTTGTCCCTTGTAAACCCCCACACCCACCCACATCCACACCCACATCCACACCCACACCCACATCCACACCCACCCACACACCCACGCCCACACCCACACCCACTCACTCACATCCACCCACACCCACAATTTCGATAACCCTCCTTCTCGAAGTTGCAACTTCGATAATCTCCTTTATCGAAGTTATATCTTCAATGGGATATGTTTATAGAAGTTGTAGCTTTTATGAACGTGATTACTTCGACAGGACATATACATACAAATAAGGAAAACATAATGAATAACATAAGGAAACAGGTCGGAATGGAAATGATTCCTGGATTAATAGTGATTAGGCATAATAATTGATTTTACTTTTCACTTCTTTGATAGCTTCTTCGAGTGTCAACAAATGATTTTGGTCTGTAGGCATGGTCCCCTTGCAAATGTCCAGTGCTTTTTCATAATTAGTCAATGCTTCTTCATAGGCTCCATTTGCAAAATGAGCATGTCCAATTGTTGTATAAGTAATAACGAATGATGGATGATTTGCAGGTAGTATGTCTAGTTCAATTTGTCGGCCAAATTCATAGCTTTCTAATGCAGCACTGTAATTACCATTTTGAAAATGTATCATTCCTATGTTACTATATATTGTAGCTATTTCATATTTATGATGAGAAGGTGAAAGCTTATAGATATCAAGAGCTTTCGTATAAAATTCTAATGCTTTGTCCGGTTCATCTTTTCTCGAGTAAGTTATACCGAGATTATTCAATGTGTTAGCTAATAGTGGATGATCACATGATAGTAATTCCGTTTCAATGTGTAATGCTTTTTGAAAATTTTCCAAAGCCATTGCCCAATCGTCCATTTTTAGATAAATGTCTCCAATGTTATTATAAGTTGACGCAATATCTGGATGGTTTGGCGGCAAAATACGAGTTCGTATTTCAAGTGATTTTTTACAAATATCCAATGCCTCAATCAAATTACCTTGTTTGGAATGTAGTAAACCGATACTATTAAGCGTCGATGCAATTGAAGGATGATTTTCTGGTAGTGTCGACATTTCTATTTGCAGTGCATCACGAAAATTTGTTAATGCGTCTACAACATTGCCATGTTTATATTGTACTACTCCGATGCAAATCAATGTATTTGCAACATCTGGATGATCAGGAGGCAAAAAAAGTCGTACAATATCAAGAGCACGTTTATGATTTATTAATGATTGAGTATAATCGCCAATTTTACATAAAACGTCGCCAATATTATTATGAACTAACACGAACGATGGATGATTTTTTGGAAGAATATTCGTCCAGATTTCAAGTGCTTTTCCATAATGTTCAAGTGCGTCCAAATAATTTGCGAGTTTTAAATGAATTGATCCAATATTGTTATGTACAACAGCAACGTTAGAATGATTACGTGGCAGAAAAATTTTGTAAATTACTAATGCCTTTTTATAATATTGTAATGCCTGTTCATACTCGGCTTTGTTTAAATAAGCCGTTCCAATGTTGACATATATTAAGCCAAGAGATGAGTGATAACTTAGCGGTAGATTCATTGCAATTTCGAGCGCTTTTTTAAAATTTTCACGAGCTCGCATATTATCATTTGTTTTGAAATAGGCTATTCCAATACTATTATAAGTGTCAATAAGATGTGGATGATTACGAGGTAAAACATCGGTTTGTATACGCAGTGCTTTTTCGTAATTTGTGAGTGAATTCATGTAATCATCTTGTTCAATATACAGTGAACCAATATTATAATAAGTTAACGCCAAATCTGGATGGTCTGGCGCCAATAAATTTTCTTGAATTGTTAGCGCTTTCTGATAATTAATTAATGATTCTGGATAATTGCTATTAGCAGAATAAATTTCTCCAATAGTTATATAGGTTTGTGCAAGAGATAATGAATAATGATTGGTAGATTGTAACAGTTTCTTGTCAAGAATATTTTGGTAAAATTCTACCGTTCTTAAATCATGATGGTGAGATTGCAAAAAGAAAGATGGTGATTCAGGCTGGTAATTTAAACTTATGTACTTTTCGACTTCATATTTTTTCTGACTGTTCATTAAAGCTTCAAAATAATTGCCCTCCTTGAAATTAACTAAAGACATGTAATGATAAATTAATGGTAACAATGGTATGACAACACGTGGCATTTGCATCGGACTTGTTGTGCCTAAATGTTCAAATATTGACATATGATTGATTGTGGAAGAGAATTTTGTACTGGTGAGTTTGGACGATTGTGATGCTAATCGAGTTTCTAGCGCTTTCTGAAGAAATTTTAATCCTGCTGAATAATCACCTTTGGACTGGCATATTACACCCAGGTTATTGTATACTCTACTGGCAACATATTCATTATCTGATGAAAGTTCATCCAATACAATTTGAAAATATCGCTCAGCTTTATCATATTGTCCTACATAATAAAGAAAAATTCCAAATGTTATCAATGAAGTATTCTCTCCAATTTGTTCTTTATAATATGTCGTTAATTCTGTTAGTTGGATATTTTGTTCATCACTTGTAATTAGTTTAACTATCCAAATATTATCTAGGGTTTGTTCAATGATTGACTCTATTCGAAACACAGCACCCATTGTTAAGAGTACCTCATATTCTTCGCTAAAAATAACATCAGCAAATTTTATGTTTGTATGTTCTGTGACAATGGTCATTTCAAATAAAATAGATTTAAACAGTGGACGATTTGAACCATTACCGGCAAAAACAAGCGCCAAATTTCGGTCTTTAGTGGTTGATATGAATGAATTCATTGAAATAAGCTTGCCAATATTTTCTCGTAGTATACTGAATTCTGTTGCCGCTATCTCTTGACCACGATAAACTGTTATTTCCTTGATATCATTTATTTTTCTAAACTCATCGTGCGATTCTCTTATACGATTGAAAAGATCTACTATGAAAAATCGAAATTTAAATATAATATCGATATTTCCTGTTCGAAATGCTTTGTTCAATAAACGATAGACAAAACTGTCCAATGTATACCACCATATCGCATGGTCAGATTCATAATCGTTACAAAAATCATCAATTTTGTTTTGTTGTTGTTTGTTCCCTGTGTAATGCAATCGACATTCATAGAGCATTTCATTTTTTGAATTTTCTGTCTGTGGTAAATGCATCAACACATCAATTAATAATTGAAACCACATAAATGTGGCACTTTGTTTATCTAGACATTGAATTGAATTATTTTTTTCATTAGCATTAAATATGCTCATTGCTAGAGAATTTTTCACACATTTTGTAACGTTTTCGTTGATTTTAATAAACAGAAGATCTTTATCATTAAAGATATCGATAATTTTTGGATAGTTTTTATAATATTGCCATTTAATGTTGTCATTAGTATTCATGCAAAATAAATAGATTGCTGTAATCGTTGACAAATTGTGTAGTGTTTGAATCTGATTTTCATCAAATAGCCCAGATATAACAATCAATATTTTTTCGTTAACAACCGATGATATATAATTTATGCATTCTTCGACATTACTGAATATTTTTAAATAATTAATAATTCGACGTAATCGCTCTTTGGTCACAACATCCAGTTTTTCAACATCTGGATCAAACCAAACTATGGTAAAATCCTCGAGATTCTGATTATCTAAATTTAAGCTATCAGTTTTTTCGTCAATCGATGTAGTATTTACTTCAACCATGCCAACAAATGTAAACAGTCAAAAAATGATTGTTGTTTTACAGATGATTACCTGTTTCTTCACAAAATAAATGTTTTCTTCGTTAAAATCTTGATATTATTACTTTTGTTAAAACAAATTGTTCTTAATGTACAGGATGGGCCATAAATAAATATGCGGCAAGAAATTTAAGTATCCTCGCCAGATATCGATCAAACGAGCTGAAATTTTTACCTGTAATAGAGGGATATTCAAAGTTCATATCCATAAAGACATGCCTAGAGAGACCTTTTGTTAAGTATCACTATTAACCTCAAAAAAAATTCTACTTTTGTGGAACTCACATATATTTTCGAAGAAGATAGTGAGTGTAAGTTTTAAGTCGAAGTTTTGGGTGGGGTGTGGGTGTGGGTGTGGGTGGGTGTGGGGTGTGGGTGCGGGTGTGGGGTGTGGGTGTGGGTGTGGGTGGGTGTGGGGTGTGGGTGGGGTGTGGGTGTGGGAGAGGTGGGGGTGAGGGGGTAGCTGGATGTGAGTGTGTATGTGGACGGAAGTGGGTGTTCTGTAGGTATTTATTATCTCTTTACCCACACTCACACCGACCCACATCCATACTCACACCCACATCGACACCTACACCCCACCCCACAACCACACCCATACCTACACCCACACCCACCTACATCTACACCCGACACCCACCCCACATCCACACACCCACACCCACCGCAGACGCACACCCATCCACATCCTACTGTTTCATATACTCCTTTCTCGCATAACCAATCGTAAAAAACAACCTAGAGTGTAACCAACCTGCTTTATAATACGAAATAATAAAAGAAAGCAAAACAGAACTGCATGTTCCAATGACAACTATACTATGTCTACTATCATGGAGTGATCAAGACGGTAAGATTATTATTAAAAGCTGCAGTCATTTTTAAAATTTGTAGAATTTTCTTAGACATATCTTATTGAAAACTAAATACTTTTAATTAATTAAAGTGAAAATTTCAATAAAGTCCCTGCTTTTGTTAAAGAATATTAAAAAATTCTATATTAAAGCTTCTAGGCCTTGTAGGGCATGAATGAAAAAAATTTAATTTTTCAACAATAGAAAGAGCTTGCTCAAAACCTATACATAGTTTTTTTAGTATACATATGGTGGTTATAATTATGAAAAAAGAATCAGTATATCATATGCCAATGATGAGTTGATGTCTTTGGAAGGTACCCCTCTGAAGTCCATATAACTATATATCGGACCTAACCCTTGTAGATCCTACTATCAAATCATTTTACCTTTCAAATATCTTAAAAGTTGTTTTTTTATATTCATCCTCATTGCAAATATGGGTTTTAAATATTTGGAGTATTGAAAATTAATAGAAAAAGTAAAAAATGTCTCTATATTTGTCATAGTTCAAATAGTAATATATTACTTAAAAGCTATTTTGGCAATAATAATATTTTGGAAATTTTTTACAGAAAAATCAATCCAAAAATGTTAAAAACAACATTTTTATAGGTAACTCGACGAGCTCTATCCAACCATGCTAAAAAACCCGCAAAAAAAAATTTTGCTCCATTTTCGATTTGCCGGCACCTTACTTCTCAACACTCTCAGTCTACTTGTATTACCTTACAGCAATTTTTTCGAATCAGACGTTGTTGAAATGCCTTTATTTTTCCGTTGGTTTATATTTATACTGGGAAGGCAGGCGCTGATACTTGATAAGAGTGGAACGGAACACTTAAATTATAGAATATATAACTACAAACGAAATGAGAAGCTGCAACTTCAAATATGTCGAATGATCGACAAAAAAGTCAGGAACGCGTTTCTCACCTATACTGAAGAGAAAGGGAAAAAGAGAAAGAACGATGCAATGTGACTGTTACAGCTCGGCATATTCTTTAATGCTTGAGCCATAGAAAATGCCTTTTTCTAGTTCTACATTGTAGGGCTGTACCGCTCACGCTCATGAGCGCTCATATGAGCGTGAGCGTTTTTTCGCTGACGCTCATGCTCACGTGAGGGGTGGTCGCTCATGCTCATATGACTAGGGCTGTACCGCTCACGCTCATGTGCGCTCATATGAGCGTGAGCGACCGCCCCTCACGTGAGCATGAGCGTCAGCGAAAAATCGGTCACACTCATATGAGCGCTCATGAGCGTGAGCGGTACAGCCCTACTACATTGTGTTGCCCTATCTGTCGTCGTCGGGGAAAATGAGCATCCATAAAAGCACGTATTTTCTATTTGCGGTTTGTCTGCCTTTTTATTAGTGAATGCGTAAAAGTATAAGTGTCGCTACGATAAACATTCCCACCGGATCGTATTGGAAACATAGCCGGATCACGTCGAAAAGGGTCGGGACCGGATAAAAACCGATCCAATCTGATAAGACTGTGTCGGAAACTTCGTCGCCGAAAGCTGTTTGGACTATATAAGAATATGTTCGATTGAAAACTGATTAGATCCGAACCGTCAAATTCTGTCGAGAATTCAATTAAAAAAACACAAAATCAAGTTATTTTGTTGTTCAATCATTGTTTTTTTCCAATTGTCACAAGAAATGAAATTAATTGCGAAAGACTCTTTCTCATGTCTAATGTTTACAAATAATACTCACACTATTATAATTATACAGGGTAAGAATAAAGATATGAAGCCAGAGTACAGCAGAGTGGCTAACATTTTCATTTTAATGAAAGTTCAAGATGGGTAATTGTATCCTAGAAGCGAAGTGTTTTTAAAAAATCATAACATATCGACGTGACATAATGACGATATCAAAATAGTCACGTTCATATTGCGTTTCTATCATTCAGAAGTGTTAACAAATCGATGATTAGTTAGGTGAAATTTTTATTGAATCGCATTCTGGATATTGAATTAAGCTACTTGCTTTCTTACCTTTTATGTCCCTAGCGCAGTAAAACAATCAAAAAAATCTGGTCTTTACTTTTGCGTTCGTTGGCTCTATAATAAAAGATAGCGCTCGTTTCTTATCTTTGTATTCTTATCAGCACTAGTCTGGAAGCTTCTTTGAGTGTTATTTACAGTTTTTTACAAGCTATAAACTTACTTACCGTAGATAAGCAAAATATCGACACAAGAAACTACATATATACAGATTGAAAGAACTCTAGCAACACATACAGCATGACTTCCTTATTTTTGACCATTTTTGTGCAGTTTACTGTGTTTTGGCAAAACTTCAGAAACCTCTTATTTTTATATGGTTGAATAGAGCATCGATTACTCTATCGAACTGTATAGACTCTATTCGAATTATTTCACATCCTACCCAACAACCTAACAAGTTTTGAAAATCTATGAAAAAAAAAACTTTTGAACGCTCATATCTCTCTGAGACTAAATTCAATTGCCGCAAAAATAGTTTTATATTCTAGAGATCCATCAAACTTAAAGTTGCACGAAGTATTAAGTGCAACTGTTTTGAATTCGAATAGAAAATGTAATTTTACTGTTGAAATTTAAAGTAATTTTGCGTAACGAACAAGTACTTTATTGTACTATTCATTTTATCCAAGCATTAAGACAGCAGCCACTATTGCGATTTCGGCCTTGCCGAAGGGTCTCATCAGGTGGGTGTGGGTGTGAGTATAGATACGGCTGTGATTTGTGGGTGTGGGTATAGATACGGGTGTGAGGTGTGGGTATAGATACGAGTGTGAGGTGTGGGTGTGGGTGTGATTAAAGACAAAAGGAATACCCACGCCCACACCCACACCCACACTCACACACCCACACCCACACCCGCCCACACCCACACTCACACCCACACACACCCACATCAACCCCCACACCCCCACACCCACACCCACACCCACACCCACATACCCCACCCACACACCCCACCCACACACCTCACCCACACCCACACCCTCTAATACACATCAAGAACAATGATCGATTCTGATAGATATCACACTTATTTTGAAACTATCGATTTTTTAATAGTAATATATATATGAATCAAAGAAGGCGGCAACTGATCTAATGCTATTCTGCAAGTATGTAGTTAACCATATTTTTACTTAGAGCATAATCATACTTGTGAGGTGTAAGCGAAGCGAAGATCGACGATCACATCCGACTTAATGTATCGACAGCTTTTAGTTGAAGACCAATACATAAGCTACTTTCTAAAAGTAATGGGCTTAGGCTGCATCCATAGTAAAAAATTCATTAGATTAAGCTTTAAGTGTTTCCATACTAAATAGTTTTGGTAAAATATTAATCACTCAGGTTTTCATTTTGATTCATTTTCCTTGTTTTGCTTTCTTTGTACATGTACATTATCTAAAGGACTGCTCATAGAACCCATTTTTCAAAAAATAAAAAAATTCAGTTCGTAGAATTGAGAGCTGTCACAGATTCAGCGCATATAAGAAATTTAGAAGAAATAAAATGACAAAATTAGAATGATAATTGTATATGGATTTTATGAAAAATGATTAAGAGGTCACTGAAACAAAGTGTTTATAAATAAAATACTCAACGTCAATAGTTTTCCCACAGTTCAGTTGAAAGTATACATCGAAGTTTTAGACTACAGTTCATCACTTCGTTTCTTTGCAGAGGCTGTGAGGTCTTGAAATTTACTAAGGAAGTTCATGTTTAACATATCTAGTTCTCAACGTGATTCACCATTCTCACAGAACTCAGAAATTGATGACTGAAAGTCATATTGAATGAAATGAAATCAAAGAAGCCGATAGATATGAAGAGACCTATGTAACACTAAGATCAATGTAGCAAAACAGATACTATTTGTTGAGACTACTCGTATTTCGCACATGGTGAATAACCAGATCGAGTTTCACCTTAGATTCATGATGTCATTAAGTTTTGTATAGATGTTACATACTGAACACAAATTTGTGAGTTCATCAAGATGGTCAAGAATATGATGAACAAAGTCAACACGTAGCGAACGAGGAACGGACGTAGTATCATAAGACATTATTGTTTTCGTCATTATGTTCAAATAGGATTTCTTGCGTTTGTCGATTTTATTTTTCAAAATGAATATACATCAAACTACTTTGCGAAGTTATAGCATTTAATTAAGCACTGTTCTTATCTTTTCAGAGACCATTAAACATGTATTTCTACTAATGATGCAAGTCAAATTTCATCATATGGGTGTAGGTGTGAACAACAAGCACAACTATATCCATAGAACACCCACATCCACCCAAGGTCACACCATCGTCGTTGTTGAGGTGAAATGTTAACATTATAGTTGCTCGACACATTCACACTGACACGCGTTTTGCTTGGCTACAAATAGTGGATTTATTATGCAATAAAGGAAAAAAAAACTAACAACTAGACAATGTTAGAATATGTCAATGGATAAAGTTGATTATTGAGTAAGTTCATGTCTTATGGGGCTCTTGAGGAAATTTCTCAATCAAATCACGAAGTTTGTCGATTGGCGCAGTCAGGAGACTTGCAACTGTTTCGAATGGTGGCTTGTTGGGTACATATGGATGAGCCCTATATGTGTGTGCAATAGATTAGTGAATGAGAAAAAAGAAAAGATAGCATACCGAGTGGGAGCGAAAATTTTTGTTCGTTCGAATGATCGAGCCAATGTGGCACTATCAGCAGGTTTCATAGCTTGTTCAAATTTTGGCAGATCAGTCTCTTCTGCCCTATATTTTACAATAGAAAAATATACAGGAAAAGTGACAACAATGTTTATATCTGTACTTATTGATGTGTCGATTTAAAATCTTCATGAGCTTGTCGAATATCGAACGATAGTTTTCGTCAGACACCGATAATGTTTCGAGCAAATGCAAGAAATCTTTTAACTATTTATGATAAGAAAATGGTTAGCAAGATACTACAAAATAATACACAAGGGCTTGCCTCCTTATGTTCAGCACGGCTAACATCGGCCATCTTTTTTCCCTCGGCACCCAAATACTTTTCAAAAGCCGGATAAACAATGAGTTCTTCGCCGACGGCGTGCCGAGCGAGTTCCCATCGAAATTGATTGGCCCACTTTTGTTGTTCGCCAATATTACCTTCTGTCGAGATATATTTCTGCAATTTTGGAGATGACTACCAGTTTTACAAAGAAAAAATGAGAAAGTCAAACCTTATAGTCATCCCTTAGATTTGCATGATCATTTTTGATAGAGGCTGAAATCGATGATGATATCATTCGAACGGCATTGTTCGTTAGACAATACGAAAATTGAGGTAAGAATCGAGATGATCGACATAGAGACTGCATTGCTTCCTTTAAATAGAACGTAAATGAAAATAACGCATATGTGTTTTTGCTTGCCTGTTTTTTTTCTGACCTCTTTCTTTTTCTTGCCTCTTTTTTTTCTCGCCTCTCTTTTTTCTTTTCTGTCTTTTTTCTCGTCTCTCTTTTTTCTTTCCTATCTTTTTCTTGTCTGTCTTTTGCGCGTTCTGCGTCTTAGCGACATGTAGGACACCAGAACAGATTGTAGGGAGCATTACGTACATTTTTCACATGAAGGCCACTCTACAGAGAAACTGTGAAAAAAATAAAGTTTTGTCTGGCGACAAATTGATATAAATTATGTTTCTCTTTTTATGTGGTACTCCAACAGCTTGCTAATACAAAAACAAATTTTTTACTCACTGTAGCGATAATTTTATACACGATAGAGGTGTTTCTAAGGCAACTGATACGTTTTATTAGATCTCATGGATCATGACAATAAGAGTTCACGAAGAAACTGCTCCAAATGTGGGTGTGAGTGTCGGTGTGGGTATGACTTAATGAGACCGACATTCACATCCCATGCCCACATTCACATCCCATGCCCACATTCACATCCCATGCCCACACTCACACTCACACTAACCCCACAGCCGCACGTCCACATCACACTCCACACCTTACACCCATTCCCAGCCACATACGCACGCCCGCACTCTCGTTACGAGTTTTGAAATTACAGAGTAAGAAATATAACCTTTGAAGACAGACTATTTTTTGACTTCAAATAATGAAAATTACTAATGTCAAATCGAGAAATTCCTTTTTTGAAAGAAAAAAGAAAAACAAATCGTTTTATTTTAAAAGTGATTAGCATGTCTTGTCAACGATGAATGCTGCAGATCTTTATCTAGTTTTTATGAAAGGTTATTCCGAAATGCTTCCAAGCTGTTGAGCTGACACGAACAGGATGACGATAGGAAAATTAGAATGCTGATCTGGAACTGTTCGTGAACAATATTGTTTAGAAGGATCAGATTTCATCAGGTCTCATTACCTTTTATGAAACAAAAAAACAAATAATCTGTTAGTTAGGATTATCTACTATCAGACTATATCAACTTCATTAGTCTGAATACAAAAGAATGTAATAGTAATTGATATTATATCATGTCTACCGCTCATAATTGAACTATTCGGTTGTTCTTATTAATGAATAGCTAAGATTAGTGAAGTTTAGCTAGTCCGATAAAAATCAAAACTAACAGAAAATACGTTTTGGACTATCTGAAGAAAGTTTTTCCATTTTACTCGAATAGAATTCTTACGGAGATAATCGCTGAACTCATATTTTTTAGAATTCAAAAACTAATCATTAAAGAAGATATTCAAACTTCAGAAAAACAATCAACTAATGGTCATCATCGACAGAAATCTCCTTCATTTCAAAGTATGAAGGATGAGGCGGCTCATTACATGACAGTTTTTAAACAATTAGATTCAGAAAATGAATTAGGGTTTAGTTCACGAACCAATAGTCCTACACCTCCATCTAAAACTCGTCGTGCTCCGCAAGATAAAATTGAAAAAGAGAATGATAGAAATCAACCTGTTAATCCTCTTGTTAGTCTTGATGATGTTGCTGATCAAACAGATCGTCTAAATCATCAACATAATCAAAGTTCTTTACCATCTACAACTACTGACGACTGAGAAAATCAATTTAAAAGATTTCAATCGAATAGTAACGATGATGATGAAGATGACTTTTAGAAAAATTCTTTTTTTCTTTTTCTAATATATCAGCACTTTTTTTTTCAACTACAAATTACAAATACATAATGAATGTCTCTTTCTCTTTTTTGTTTTCTTTCACTTTTTCCTCTGGTTTATCTTTACAAAAAAAATTCATTTTGATCACATAGCAGAATTGAATATATCAGTTACATAAGGAGGCATATAACCACGCCATAACAAATTAACGAAATTATTTTATAATTATGAACGATAAAAAAAAGATATGTACTTGATCAATAGAGATAAAGTAAAATTCGTCTGGACAATCATCATGTTCTTTAACAAGTATGTTGATCATTGTTTTTGGTAAACTACGATCACGGATTATTACGTGAATTTCATGACGATTCATATCAATTGAACGAATAAATTCTATGACAAAAAATAATTAGTTTACAACTTTTTATTCCTAAAATAAAAAAGATTTTTTTACCAAATTCAAAACATTCAGCTTTCACTCGTTCATCGATTAATGCTGGAAATAAACTAGATATGTGATATAACTACAAAGAAATAATCAATGTTTTATTGCACACTTCATTTATTTTATTAATATTATCACAATAAATTATTCAGATTTTTTGAGAATACTGTATCTTTATTGAATGGGATTTTCTCTTTATTTTTTATTTAATGATATACTCATTAACATACCGACATTTCAGTCTGAATTTCTGAATGTCAATATGTACTAGCTTTCAGAAAAGGCAAAGAAATAGATTCCTCTAAATTTTTTCTTTCGATCTATTTATAGTGTGTAAATGTCATTTTATAATGTTATCATACTCATCATCTGCATATAACTATTGATTTCTACTCATTTCATCAGTTGTTATTCTATCTATAACATACTAGAGTTTTACAATTATCGATCAATCATTTAAATATGGTATTTGGTTTTAGTGGATATATGGTAAAGACACATGAAGTCTGTATTAA